AGAGCTAGTCTCCCTGGGACTTGAGCAGAGGCCATCTGAACTGTGGACTTCCACTCACTCACCAATCAACTGCAGAGGGAGCAGTGGGATTCCTCAGTGCCCTTGAATGTGGCTCCTGGCACAATGACCTGACTCATGTGTGCACATGTGGATGCATGCACACACGCACACACACATGCACACATACACACTTGTACACCCTCAGGCCCTCCACCTTCTCTTTCAGCACCTCAGGATGAAGAGGTAGGGGTTACCAGAAGTGGAACCCCTAAGGGAGATAGAAATCGGCCCTGTAAACCTCTTTTTCCAAGAGGAGCATTTTAAATTAGACACATTTTCTGCACCTTCGAATCCTGCAGATTTTTCACCTCAACTCCCCCAGGCTTATAAAGTAGCTCATCTCAGCTGCTCAAGTTGACAAAGGCGCTGGAAACTGTTGAAAGGTTCAAAATGTCCCTTGGGTTTTCAGGAATGAAGGAATTTACATGTAGGTACAAAATTACCAAGGAAAAAGTCTCCACTTGTATGGGGGGAGGGGGCGAGTAAAGAAGCAGCCATAGAAGGAAAGGAGACCTCTTGGGAGATGGCACGGAAGTGTCTGGCTTAGAGAGAAAAACTTCCCAAGGCCCTGCTGGTGGTATCACTAGCCCTAACTCACAGCTTCAACAGACAGACAGGGAAAGAAGGGCCACCAAGCAGAGAGACAGGTGCACCAAGAACCTCTCTATTCTTCTGCAGGAGTTGTGAGGGCCCCTCACAACTGCTGTTGTCCAGGGCAGTAATGGTTGTAGTTGACTTGAGAATCCCTTGAAAAAGCCCTATGGGTCCCCAGGTGTGGTCCATGTATGCTCAGCCTCAACTCTGATTTGTATGTCTGACCAGGCAATGGAAGTCTTAAAAGCTTGGCCTGTGTGGGGAGTGGTGGCACTTCTAGTCCTTCTGGGAGTTCTCGTACCAGCTGACCCAGCTGATGCTGGCCAGTTGCAGGGAAAGATGCTCCTTTCTATAACTCCTGGAGTCTACCCCTTGGCTTTCTGTTCCTCTCTCCCCTACCTTGAACATTTCTAGGGCTTCCTATCTATTGGGGCACCAAGGCCTTCCCAGAGCCTTCTCACAACCCTCAGCCTCTACTCAGGTTACTATAACCATCCACAGGTCATTGTTTGCCCTCTGCCCTAAGATCAGCTTGGGACCAGGGCAGGAACAAGACAAGCTAGGGAGGATTATGTATGTTTCCTGAGTCCCCACCATTGGTAAAGAGGCAGGCTAGCGAGGCAGCAGCTTCTGGAAGCTCCAGAGACTATATTCTGGGAGGGAAAATCAGTGCACCCTGGAGGAACACTGGAGGTGGAACATATCCCAGTGGGTATGCTGCTCCAGCTAAGATCTGCTACTCAGAGCAGCCAGGGATATCTATAAGGGATGCTGCAGCCCATGCTTCTAACAGACAGATGAGAAGCCTGCCCCTGCCAGATTCCCAGATTCCCCATAACAGTGGTTAATCCCAGTCCCACCATCCTCTCCTCCATCCGACCTCAGCTGATGGAATATTTTAAGTGGAGAGATAGCCACACAGAGAATCAACTTCACTGTAACTTCAGGAAAGAAGGGGTGTGGTGGGGAGGGTGCAGAGAAAGCTGCTCATCCTCATTAGCCTCTCTGCTATGAGCACAAAACTTGAAGTTGAGACAGATGAGTTTTTTTTTTTTTTTAGTAGCTAATAATTCTATGGAGACAAATACATGATGAAGTCAGACTCACTGTTGGGGTCAATAGGCCCGTGCAATTCTGCCTGACGGATCCAGGCTGTGTGTACAGAAAGGATGAGTCAGGAACAGGCCTTTGGTCACAGAGTCCTCTAGAAAGTGTGTGAGCCACATGCTAATGAACAAATCTCCCCCCCAGGCTCCCTCTGCTCACCCTCCCACCCCTCTTCTCACATCTTTCCTTCCCACAACAGGAACAGCTCCAGGCCAGGACTGCTCTTCACTGGCTGGACTGCCTAATTGGTCTCCAGGTGCCTCTGCCAACCCAGCAACTGGTCACCATGAATTTGACAGATTCATGAGCTTAGCAGATGGAAAGTGAAAGCAAGAGAGTATTGTTTCTTGCCCATGATGATAGTTGATCCTTCTTGAAAAATAACATGTAACCAGAAACAGAAAGAATATTCTTTCTCTGCCACCCTATGTATTGGACATATACAAAGTCCCAGATACAAATACCCAGATGAGAAAATGTAGCAGATTGATACTCTGTGAACTACAGAGCAAGCTTTACCTAACTAGGTTCAAGGACTATCAGTTCTTAGGCTGCACTGGGAGATACGCTGTTTGACTCTTACTGTTTGTCACCACAAGTCTCTGGTATCCACCCTGACAGTGACCTTATAAGGATTAGATTTTCTAAGTGACCACCACAGAACTACTGTGAAAGGCCCTGTGTCTGCCTGGCAGCACAGGATGAGCACACAAAATGGGTGGAGACCCTCCCTTTGATGACACACAGTGGGGGGACCACCCATGAATTCATCCATATGCACTGTCCACAGCACAGAGTCCTCCCAAGAGCTCCATCTATATATGAGGGCCCCTTCTCTTCCTGGATCAGCCCTCCATGAGTCCTAGGCAGGGAAGTCTGGTTCAGCTATCAGGGTCCAGATATCAAGACAGCCAAGAGCAAAGAATTCAGGGAGTGCAAATTGAAGTTCTTAAGACAGGGGATGGAGGTTTCTCTGCAGTCCCAGAGTGCTGACTTCTCAGTCAAGCTGCAGGGCCAAAGGATTCATGATGCTATCTAACTTACCACTCTCTGCTTTCAGAAATGTTGTGACTGCCTCTGAACTGGCAAGGTGAGGGTATTGGACTCCCCATTCCCTCTATCCTATGATGAGTTTGCAATGAGTAGTTTGTGAAGTCCAGCCAGGTTCACAGTTGCTCGAGATTAGTAACATCCACCAAAACCCAGAAGGGGTTGGGGCTGAGCAAGAAGAATGGAAAGAAACAACTTGCATTTACATATTTGTTCCCCCAGGTCCTCCCAGGACAACCATGGGAGATGTCTGACAAGCAGCATGGATAGCAGAACCCCCCCAGAAGAGAAAAATTCCAATTAGCCCAAAGAAATGAGAGCCTCTTCCCAGAGTCCCAATTAAATCAGAATCAATCAATGCTTGCTCTGGTTCCTGCCATTCTGCTCAGAAAATAATGAGAAAAACAAGAGGCCCAGCCAGCAAGTACAGTGTGGCAGCCCTTTGAAGCCCAGAGAAATCACTGTGCATGGCTGCAAGTGTGCAGTGCAGCTGCTGCACCTGTGCCTTTAAAAACTCAGCCTGATGTCTTGTTTCCCACTCAGACCCTGAAGAATGCCAATGAGGGCAACCCACACCCCACCCCCAACCAATGGGACAAAGAGGAGTGCTGTGGGACCAGCAGGGCTGGTTTTTAAACTGTCTGTGTTGATTCATCACTAGATCTGGCATTCATTCCCCTCTGTTTCCACACTATCCATCATGGGTCCCAGAACCAAGAAATCCAATAAAGACACAAAGGCACAGTTCTGTGCTCCCAGCAGGCCTCTGAAAGAGTGTGTGAGGGACCCAGCCCAGGCAATTAGCTGCATCCATGGGATCACAGAGTTGATGGGCTTTAGCAATCCTGTGCCTGGCACTTCACCGGCAAGTGTTTGGGGAACAAGGTAAAGGGGGAGTAAATACACATGGGCTGGTCTGGGGCTCAGGTAGAGTGGGGATGACAAGGGTGACAAAGGGAAAGGCAGCAATCAGGAGACTGGATTGAAATGAACTAAAATATTTTCCAAATTCAGTCACTTCTCAATTACCCTTGAGCAAATTGTCCATGAAAACCCAAATACTCCATGCCCCCCAAAGCTGATGCAGGTTGCAGGTTGCAGAGTGTGTGTGAGGACTGCTAGCTAATACAGTCCTCAAGCTCCAAAGGACTGGATGGAACCGTAATAATCTATTAGGGTCAAGGTGGTCATTTCAAAGCCCAAGTGGAAAAGCATTCTCTTAAAAGAATTAGAACCTCTGAAGGCCACAAGCAAAATTCAAAAATGGAAACAAGTTCTCTCTTCACCAGCCAACCTTAGATTCCCCTACGATCAGCTTTTATGAAGTAGGCAGGACAGAGGTTGAGAGGTTTCCAGACCCTTCCACTCACTCCCAGAGCAGACCAAGCCTTGAGCCCATTCAGTGTATTTTTTATCACATGGAGAAAGAACATAAGCTGTCTAAGACTGAGGAGAGTCAACACGATCACATAATACCCCAAACTGTAGTTTGCATCACTCTGTGTCATTCAGAAGCAAAATGTAGCACAGCACATGTGTATCACACTCCTGCTCCCATCCTAATAGTTTCATCTCCTTCCAGGGCCTGGCATGAGCCCCAGGAGAAAGACAGCCAAGCCAGAGGACTTTGAGTTAATGAGCTGCATGGGTTCAGAACCAAGTTCAATGCTGTGGGAGCTGGACTGAAATGAACTAAAATATTTTCCAAATTCAATCACTTCTCAATTACCCTTGGGCAAATTGTCCATGACAACCTAAATACTCCATGGCCCCCAGAGCTTGAGACTGATACAGGATGTAGAAGTGTGTGTGTGTGTGTGTGTGTGTGTGTGTGTGTGTGTGTGTATGAAAGAGAGAGAGAGAGAGAGAGAGAGAGGGAGAGAGAGAGACAGAGAGACAGAGAGAGAATGTGTGTGTTTCCAAACTAAATATTGCCTTGTAATTATTATGTTATTTTCCACTGTTCAGAATTTTGCCATCTCTTCCTCTCAGCATGGATACAGACAAGCTGGTTGGACACAACTGGAAAATCATCAGGCCTAGCAGAGGAGATAGTTTCTCCAGCTTTATAATAAGCTATTAGGCTCTTTCTATTTTTGGATGACCAGAGCTGGAAGTAGGAGAATCTTAAAAACCCACCCACCCCCAGATGGGCAGGAAGCAGAGGCTTCAAGAGCCCCAGAGCTTACCCTTGCAGGCCACGCTGTTCTCAGGCTCATAACCGGGCTTGCAGGTGCAGCGCCCAATGGGCACCATCCATTCCCCATCCCCGTTGCAGTAGAGTTTGATGGGCATGTCCACTTCCTCTGCATTGGGGATGCATGTACCCCGAGCAATCACCAGAGATGTGCTCTCTGCCCCTGTCATGGTTTCTGGGAACACTGCAAAATTTTGCACAATGCTGGGACACTTTTTGAAGAAGACACGGACAGAAAGGAGAGACATACAGGCTCCATAATCCTGGAAAGCGAGGTAAAAACCATTCCGAGTAAGAGGCCCGAAGCTCCTGACTTCTGTGTTGACCTTCATCAGCCTTCCCCCGAAGTCCACCTGGGAGAAGCTCTCATCTGCAGCAATGGTGTCTACTTTGAGGTAGGGGGCTTCAGACCAGAAGGCAGACTTCTTGGTGGCAATGACAGAGTCAGTCTCATAGTAGTACAAGTTGAAGGTCTCCTTGCAGGAACCTGGGACATTGGGGAGGCTGCTGCAGTCTCTCACAGTGAAGCGCATCTCTGTATAGATGCGATGAGCCCCCCGCCGATTGATGAAGGTGGTGAGCAGCCAGTTGTTCTGGTTGGGTTCAAAGACATTGCACACCTGGTAGGTGCGGATGGTGTTCAGGTTTTCATCATAGCCACTGACTTCTTCCCACTGTATCAAGCAGGCCACAGGCACATACATGCAAAAACAGAAAATGAAGAGTGAGAAGACAAAAAGAGGTAGAACAGAGGAGAATCTTGGAGCTGAAAGGGGCCTTAAGAGCTCACCAGTCCCACTGCTTGACATCTAACCATAACTTCATTTTAAAGACCATCTTATAAGCAGACATCATAGTTCTCTGCAACCCATCCCCAAATATAACAGACTTTATTCTAGAAAGCATTCCCTCTAACTCACAGCTCTCATGCTGTGACTATGGCTTACATCCATGGGGAAAACCTGCAGCTTTCAGTGCACAGGGACTTCCTTCATCACTGTACAGCCTCTGGTCTTAACAGCGTCTGTGGATCAGAGACCAATTACAGGACACCCCTCCCATTGAAAATCCCCATCTCTGAACCTAATTTCTGTATTATGGTGGATCTCCTTTATATCTCTGAAAAGCACATAGATATAAAGCTTTTCAGAGTTTCTCAATTAACTTAGATTCTTAAAAACTTTTGTTTTATAACATAAATCTCTTTGGAAGAGTTAGACTGTAAAACTGTACAGAGGCTAATGAAGCAAATCATGTTCTGTTGTGTGAAGATTTGAAGCAGAACTGCAATGGAAGTGAAATGTTGAAGGGTGTTACTTAGCAAGTTAGGAAAATTTGTTAATAAGAGACAGGTGACCATGACTCACGTAGAATAAGAGAGCTCTCTTTAGCAACCCTGCAGATTAGAAGAGCGGAGAAAAACACATTTGTTTGTTGTCCCATCCACCAAGTACTATTATCCCCATCTATAGATGAAAAGTCATCATGCAGTTTCCAATGGTACATGGTTTTAAGAGGCGTACAGAAAAGGGGTAGAAAGAAGTGCTTCGAATAGCTTAAGAACTTCTAGATTATTTCAGTAGCAGGCACTGGGAGGGGGTCTATAAAGGAAGGTGATAAAGAAGAGATTTTGGTCATTCTTTCTCTTTGCTGCAAGAGAAGAGGTAGGGGAAACACCTGCCTATATCAGAGCCTGATATAGATCTCAAGAATTGAGGATATTCAAGAATAAAGTTAAAGTTATATCCTGCTGGCCCAAACTAAACAGGGAGAGAAGAAATTAAAGTTAGCAAAATGAAAAGAGAAAGAGGGTTAAGATCCTTGACTACTTGGCAGTTGTGACCAAGATAAGAAAATCATACTCATTTCTTTAAGTGTCCTGCTAATTGCTTATTTTTCATGGTGTGGAGTTCAAATATATAGACTAGAATTCTTGATTAACAGAACTAAATGTCAATTACTTTTGCAATGGAAATGCTTCTTGCAAGGGGTTAAGCCCCTTATGGAGGCAGAAGGACTGAGATAAGTCTCACCTTCAAAATTGTGCCAGGGCAGTGGAAAAACAAGCATTGTGCCGTGGAAAAAACAAGCATTGTGCCAAGGAAAAAAATGGGCACATGGACAGCTGACTCTACACTTCTAGGCCTCACTCATGGTCACACTGAGGTACCCAAGCTGCAGTCCACTGAGACCCTTGCTAGCTCCTAGCTCCTTCCAGCCCTTCCACAGTGCCAGTGTCCTCCCCAGCCCAAGGTCCTTGGTCAGTTCCTTCCAGTACCCTTCCACTAGTTTAGGGGCAGAGGGCCATTCTTATTCGCTGCCCTACATAAAATCTCAGCTCCTCCATAAAGCACCCAGCACCCTATCTATCACTTGATTCCCAACCACCATTTGTGGCTTCAAATATCTCTCTCCCTGCTCCACTTTACTTACTGCAATCTCAAAGTCTTTACCTTTCCCAAATCCATGCTATCTCCCACTTCCAAGCCTGTGCTGTTTACATAGAGTAAAATGCCTTCCTGTTCTTTGCCTGAGTTACTGGGTTTGGAAAACCTTCCAGCTACCAGCTCATGCACTCTGGGCTCAACTGGATACTGCATCTTGGCACCTACTCTGTGCTTCTCTGTCTCCATGCCCTCCACTGTAAGAACACATGCACCTTGACACAGGGCATCTCCCCCAGGGAGGTCTCTCAAGGGCCACAGCACATCACCGACATTCAGCATCTGGACATAGCACCTGAGCAGGGTGATACACATGCATGTGAATGAATGTGCCTATCCCAGGCCCTGCCACCAGCAGAAAGAAACGTCAACTGCACAGCTCACATGGAGTATAAATTCACACTGTCAAACCTCACCTGGCTTGGCTTAATTTCTTATTGATCTCTAGATGTAGAAGAACTACTTTTTCTTCCTTCTTGAAGATGGTGTTATGTTCTATTTAAACGTGTTTGTTAAAGTTATGTTCTGCTTGCCTGGTTTTTTGGAAACCAGAAAGCAAATATATTAGGCAGAAGTTGCTGACAGTGTTTCAAATCAAGTTTTCGACCTCCCTCCCTTTCCAGGTCATTATGAAACATTTTCCCAATTGACCTTCCATGACTTTCAAGGGAAGGACAGCTTTCTTCTACTGTTCCACAATTGTTGAAATTCAGCAGGTCTCATGATTCATTGTTCCAGCTTCATCTTGTCACAAAAGTGGGGCTCTTTTGTCCATGTTCATGTGAAGCATGTGTACCCATTTGGGGGTGACCTGGCCCAGGCAGAGTCTCTGACCACCCAAGACTTTTGCAGCTCTGTTGTGGGGGGCAGAACAGGAAGCCCCGTCTGCTGGGCTCACCTTGGCACTGAAACATCGGCAAGTCTTTAGATAAACAGAATAAGGATTTCAGTCTCCTGGAGCTGGAATATTGAGAACATTTATCTTAGAAAATGACACTGATTAGTATTATAAGACCCATCAGAGGTAATTGTTTCAGGCATTAACCTCTCTGGGCCTCAGTTTTCTCATCTGTAAAATGAGGAATCATACTGGGTGACCTTAAGTTGTAAAATTCTACAGATCTAATTGATTCCTTGACAGCTCCTAAGGGAGCGATCAAAGCAAATTAGAGGGGATATAGCTGTATATTCAAAGGGAAAGAGTAGAAAGAAGCTCAGAGAAAGGAAAATAGCTTCCTGTTGTTTGGGGAGAGGCCATAATGGAGTCTCACATTAGTTTTTCTCTCTCTTTCATTCTTCTCCTGTCAGCAGGTGCTACAGGGGCTGGAGAGATAAGTGATCAGAGTGAACTACACTAGGGAAAAATGCTTTCCAGAGCAAGTAGCAATCAGGATGGGGGGATTTGGGTTAATGGAGACAAGGGTGGGATGGCACTCCTAGCAGGGAGGGACAAACATTGTTATTTGTGTATGATACTTGGAATCAGCCTCATTGCTTTATAGTTATACCTCACTCATTCATCAATGAAAAAATATTTACTGAATGCCAGCTTTATGCCAGACATTCCATTAGCCACTGGGGATACAGAAATACAAAGCTTATAATCTAGTGAGAAGAACAGAAATTAGAAATGATTATTAAAATAACTAAATAACTACAATTGTGCTAACTGCTATGAGGGAAAATTATGGGTGCCAAGAAAGGGGGTATACGTGCTATGCAGAAAAGTGTCAGGGAAGAGCCTCCAAACTAAGGTGGTATGGATGGAGAGAAGTTAACCTTTTCTTGGGGGCAGAGAAGGGGCAGAGCATCTGTGCTCAGGACACAAAAGTGCAAAATCCCTGCGGTGGGGCAAAAGCAACCTGGTACCATTGAGGAATGAATCCTGTGTGATAGAGGAGTTATAAAAGGCTGGAGGTGGTAAGACTAAGCCAAAAGGGAAGGCAGATCAGCTCTAAAATTTTGAATTTCAACCTGAGTGTAAGTACAAGTCATTGATGAGTTTTAGGGCGAAAAGACAGAGGTGATCAGAGTTGAATTTTTTAAAGATGTCTCAGATGCAATGTAGACTGGACAGGAGAGCAGCTTAAATACATAGGCAGGACAACTGGAAGTCATTGTAGTTGTCCAGGCAAAGAGTATGGTGGGCTGGACCAGATCTGTATACACTGCAAAGAGATTTTAGGGGGAAAAAATCTCTATGTCCTCACTGTACCTACTATGAAAGCAACAGACCCAAGGGGCCACGTGTCCCCTGAATGCCCTTTTACGCAGCAGACCTAACTCCCTTATTAGGCTTATCAGATTCTAAGGAATGCTGATTCCCCAACCCTTTCTCTCTCTCCTTCCTTTAAAAAAAAGGAGGGGGGGTGTGCCAGTATTGGGTAGTCTACCCCCATTAAAAGCCCCATTTCCTGTTCAGGGATAAATTTCTTTCACCCTGAGCCTGTGCTGGCTCCAGTCCCTGCCATGTCTTCTCACTGCTCACTTCAAACCTGATTCCCTAAAGGTCTCTGGTCAGTGGCCATTTCTCAGCCTCCATTCTAAGCAGTTAACACATTCCCTACTGTGTTCCTTCCTATAATTATCTCCGCCCACCAACACAACTTCAAAACACCATGATTCACTTATCAGATTGGCAAAAAATTAAAAAAATAAAATGCCAATTCTCAGTAAGAAAGTACGGAATAGGACACCACTGCCTAAGTCTGTAGTAGAAGTAAACCAGTGACATCTTTTAGAAGTCCATGAACTGGCTTCTCTCAACATTGGAAATGTTGGGATAAACAAGTCAGCAGGAAAAGGTGAATTATTTGTCAAAGCTGTTGAGGACTAGGTAACCATCTACAGAAAGCATAACTCATACTTTATACCAGGATACATTCCCATTAAATCAAAGAATTAAAGATTACAAAAGGAAACCATGAAAGTACCAAAAATTTATAAATTCAGCTCTATCAATATTCTGTAATTTTTTAATGAGCATATTGAAAAAAACTCTAAGCAAAGTCAAAAGAAAGAAGAAAAAACAATGGAGGGGAAAAAATTCTTTGTGGGCTGGCAGAGTGTCTCAGGTGGTTGACTTTTTGGCTAGCAAGGGTGAGACCCTGAGCTAAACACTGTACAATTTTTAAAAAAAGTTTTGTAACTTGTCACAGATAAAGTGCTAATTTCCCTTAACAATTAAAGAGAACTTACACATCAGTAATAAAATAGAAAAATAGGTGAAA